CTGGGTGGTGGCGGACGCATGCGGGCGGTGCCACTGGGAGCTTCGGTGGAGCCCCTAATGGGGCCACGAAACGCTGTACTGGGTGGGCGAGACGCGGTCAGCAAGGGCTGTGCTGCGTGGTGGCGGACGCATGCGAGCGGTGCCACTGGGACCTTCGGTGGAGCTCCCTATGGGGCCACGAAGCGCTGTACTGGGTGGGTGAAACGCAGGCAGGGAGCACGGGCTGTGCAGGGTGGTGGCGGACGCATGCGGGCGGTGCCGCTGGGACCTTTGGTGGAGCTCCCTATAAGGCTACGAAGCGCTGTTCTGGGTGGATGAAGCGCAGGGAACAAGGGCTGTGCTGGGTGGTGGGGGACGCAAGCGGGCAGTACCACTGGGACCTTTGGTGGAGCCCCCTATGGGGCCACGAAACGTGCGAGGGGTGCGGAACCGCATGCCAACGCAGCCACTGGGGCCTTCGGTGGAGCTCCCTATGGAGCCACGAAGCGTGTGAGGGGTGTGCCGAAATGGGAGGCGGAACCACATGCGAGCGCAGCCACTGCGGCGTTCGGTTGAGCTCCCTATGGGGCCACGAGACGTGTGACGGGCGTGCCGAAATTGAGTGTGGAACCGCATGCGAGCGCAGCCACTGGGGCCTTCGGTGGAGCTCCCTATGGGGCCACGAACCGTGTAAGGGGTGTGCCGAAATGGAGGGGGGAACCACATGCGAGCGCAGCCACTGGGGCGTTCGGTGGAGCTCCCCATGGAGCCACCCACGAAGCGTGTGAGGGGTGTGCCGAATGGGGGGTGGAACCGCATGCGGGCGCAGCCACTGGGGCCTTCGGTGGAGCTCCCTATGGGGCCACGAAACGTGTGAGGGGTGTGCCAGAATGGGGGGTGGAACCGCATGCGGGCGCAGCCACTGGTGCTTTCGGTGGAGTCCCTATGGGGCCACGAAACGTGTGAGGGGTGTGCCAGAATGGGGGGTGGAACCGCATGCGGGCGCAGCCACTGGGGCCTTCGGTGGAGCTCCCTATGGGGCCACGAAACGTGTGAGGGGTGTGCCAGAATGGGGGGTGGAACCGCATGCGGGCGCAGCCACTGGGGCCTTCGGTGGAGCTCCCTATGGGGCCACGAAACGTGTGAGGGGTGTGCCAGAATGGGGGGTGGAACCGCATGCGGGCGCAGCCACTGGGGCCTTCGGTGGAGCTCCCTATGGGGCCACGAAACGTGTGAGGGGTGTGCCAGAATGGGGGGTGGAACCGCATGCGGGCGCAGCCACTGGGGCCTTCGGTGGAGCTCCCTATGGGGCCACGAAACGTGTGAGGGTGTGCCAGAATGGGGGTGGAACCGCATGCGGCGCAGCCACTGGGGCCTTCGGTGGAGCTCCCTATGGGGCCACGAAACGTGTGAGGGGTGTGCCAGAATGGGGGGTGGAACCGCATGCGGGCGCAGCCACTGGGGCCTTCGGTGGAGCTCCCTATGGGGCCACGAAACGTGTGAGGGTGTGCCAGAATGGGGGGTGGAACCGCATGCGGGCGCAGCCACTGGGGCCTTCGGTGGAGCTCCCTATGGGGCCACGAAACGTGTGAGGGGTGTGCCAGAATGGGGGGTGGAACCGCATGCGGGCGCAGCCACTGGGGCCTTCGGTGGAGCTCCCTATGGGGCCACGAAACGTGTGAGGGGTGTGCCAGAATGGGGGGTGGAACCGCATGCGGGCGCAGCCACTGGGGCCTTCGGTGGAGCTCCCTATGGGGCCACGAAACGTGTGAGGGGTGTGCCAGAATGGGGGGTGGAACCGCATGCGGGCGCAGCCACTGGGGCCTTCGGTGGAGCTCCCTATGGGGCCACGAAACGTGTGAGGGGTGTGCCAGAATGGGGGGTGGAACCGCATGCGGGCGCAGCCACTGGGGCCTTCGGTGGAGCTCCCTATGGGGCCACGAAACGTGTGAGGGGTGTGCCAGAATGGGTGTGGGAGGGGGAGGAGGGGGGAGGAAGGGGAGGAGGAGGAAGGAGGAAGAAGGAGGAACGCGGGGCGACGTCTCTTCAAAACGAGGACCCAACACCACAGGATGGTTGGGAACAACAATCATTATAAGACCGGTCCCTCTTATACGTTCGCGTGAAGTTCAATGCGCATATCCCAAACCTTGGATACCCGCCCTCTTCGTCTGCGATCGCACCCCCGCTTGGGAGGTGCATTCATTCCCTGCCACGCGCGGTGAAGCCCTTGAAAACGAAGGGCAACAGATCACGGGCGAGAATGAGGGCGAGGGGATCGGAGGAAGGGGGGGGGGCAAGAAGGAGGGAGGACGATGATTCGCGCTGCGAGTGGCGATTCAGCTTGCGCCACGGCTTGCGCCAGCCACTCCAACACAGGTTAACAATGAGTTTCGCCATGGGACGCGCCATGACCAGCGCCACGCACCACCCCCTTGAAAGAACACATCGCGGATACCCCCGCCGGGGGACGTACACCTGCGAACTGGTTTCAAAGACAAACTTCGTGGAACCCTGGGCAGAAGCGGAATGGTGGGAGAGTGGGGCGGAAGGATAATGAGAACTGCCGCCGCGTCGAGAGGGGCGCGGGGGCGCGGCGTGGATTGGGATGGAGTGGACAAGAGTAGGCTCCCAGGAGGAGGAGCGGCAAGGAGTGGAGAAGAGGGGCCGGGAGGAGTGCGGGGGAGCGGGGGGCGCACGTTATCTGGAGGAGGGGCAGGGAATAATTTGGGAGAAATGCGGAATGCGAGCGGGAAGGGGTGGAGATTGTCGGGGCGGGATGGGGCGGCCTGGGGGGGAGTGGGCGGAATGCGAAGAACTGAAGCATAGCACACTGGAGTACGAACGACATGGAGATGAAGATAAAGGGAAAGACTAGAGAAAACTTGGAAAGAACGTTGAAAAGTGGGGGCGGGTGGATACGAGCGGAGACTGGTGCGGAAACAAAGCGCGGGGGGATTGGAAGGCACCCGAAGGCCTCCTATGACCTCTGGGGGGCCTCGGAATGGCCCCGATGACCACCGAGCAGTTCCAGAGGCTCCGAAAACCTGCGGGAACGTCCTGGGGGCCTCGTCGAAGGAGGCCTTCATCCGAAGCCTGCAGAAGAACCTGGGCCAGTGGAACACGCGCGTCTCAAAAGGCCGGCAAACCGGGCCCCGGCAAGCAGCGCACCGTCGGCCTGGCCAACGGCAACGCTGGCGATGCACACACCGACCCGCGGCAACCCGACCCGGTGGTAAGTTGCGAGGACGTATCAAGCGAGAGCCGCGATCCGGTGGTAAGTTGCGAGGAAGTCCCAAGCGGGAGCACGATTCTTCAATACATTGTGAGGAAGCATCGAGCGGTAGCCGCGATCCGGTGGTAAATTGCAAGGAAGTCCTAAGCGAAAACGCGATTCTTCGATAAATTGTGAGGAAGTATCAAGCGGGAGCCGATGTTGTTGTAAACCAGAGGCCAACAACGCAGTTTGACCCTCAAGACTTTCCCTTATAAAAAACAGGGTGCGAGCCCCGGGAAGGGCACTTCAATCGAAAAATAATGTGCACCGGACGGGGGGGAACAACAATAGCTATTCTTCAGAAGTGAGAGCTCAACAACAACAACCAACACAACATTATCAACAACAACAACAACAACAACAACAACAATAACAGCAACAACAACAACAAACACAACAACCGCAACAACAACAACAATTACAACAACAACAACAACAATCATCATCGTTACAATTGCAACAACAGCAGCAACAACAATAACAGCGGCAACAACAACGACGACAACGAAGGACGACGACGAAGGACAATCGAAAACGACGACGACGACGATCGAAGTCGACGACGACGATCGAAAACGACGACGACCACAAAGATGGATGACGATCGACGATCGACGATCGAAAACAACGACGACGACGACGATCAACGACGGCTGCGACGACGACGACGATGACGCGACCTCCCAGAAGCATGGGTCGATGCTCGCGAGCGCGCCCTGCCCAGCCTTCGCAGGCAGCTTCACCGCGGCGATCTGCTCGAAGTCGGCGTCGAA